CTCCTCTTCGTCCTCGTCCTCGTCCTACTTCTCGTCCTCCTCCTCGTCCTCTTCCTCGTCCTCCTCGTCCTCGTCCTCCTCCTCGTCCTCCTCCTCCTCGTCCTCCTCCTCCTCGTCCTCGTCCTCGTCCTCGTCCTCCTCCTCCTCCTGCTTCTCGTCCTCCTCCTCCTCCTCTTCCTCGTCCTCCTCCTCCTCCTCATCCTCCTCGTCCTCCTCCTCCTCGTCCTCCTCCTCGTCCTCCTCCTCGTCGTCGTCGTCGTCCTCCTCCTCCTCTTCCTCTTCCTTCCCCCTTCACTCCACCAACCACCGATGATGTTCCCTAGTTGGGTCACGAGACGTCGGCAAGAAAAGCACCCCGCTCAGCGCACACCGACCACTCCCACCGTTCTCTTTAACCCGTCGCTTTTTCCTTCCAGATGGGATCACTCGGGTGGGGCAGAAGCTCTGCGTGGTCGTGTACCCCAAGATGGACGCCGAGGAGTCGGAGAACGACCTCAGCAAAGAGACCAAAGAACAGCTGGAGCCCATGTGCGGCACAGAGAAGCTGGCCACGCCCCAGAATTGAGCCATCACAGATGGAATATCGCCAATTATGGACTCCACTGGGTCTTAGCCACTAGATAGAGTTCGCCTGCTCCCATCGGCCGGAGCTGGACCTGTTGGGAGGGGGGGTGTCGACCCCTCCCCAATACACACACTCCTTTCCCCAGCTTCTTGCAGGGTCTGGGGTCCTCACACCCCAATATCCACCTCCAGTGCCTCCCGATGGGCTGGAGAAGGATGGGGCCACCCTTAAGAGAGCTGGCGCCCCACTTCCTGTCTCTCATCCCATATTTTTGGGAAGTATTTTTCGTTGCTGCCTTATATATATATATATTTTTGGGGGGGTCGAGAAATATTTTAAGGGGTGGTGGTGGAACCTCAGCTGGAATTGGTGCCCTTGTCTCTTCTTCATTTTCCTTTCTTACGGTTTTTTTTTTGAAGAGGGGAAGGTTTCCTCCCTGTTTTGTTTTGGATGTAATAAATTAAACGCCGCGCGCCATCTGGATCGCTTCCTGGCTGGGTTCTTCTTTTTTTTNCCCTTTATTTATTTATCAGCACAAATGCAACACAAATGTAACAAAGGCAACATTTAAAAAAAATGGCTTTCTGCCCGGATGGCTCCTAGGGTGATCTGAAAGACAGAAAAGGAAAGCAGTATGCTCCCTCCCATATTTGGACATACCAGAAATAGATAGATATCTCCCCACAATCAGGAGGCTGGGAGTTCAATCCTAGGTAGAGGCAGATATTTCTCTCTCTGGGCACAATGTGACTATATCTGCTGAACAAAACTCCAGATTGGCGACAGGGAAAGGCATCCAGCCAGTAAATATTCTGCTAGCTCCATTCAGTTGCCCAGACTCTACTCCCACAAGGGATGATGGGGTCGTTAAAAGATGATGATGTTACGGTCTAGGTCCAACCCATTTCTTTCCCCCCCCCCGCCGCAGGTGAGTCTGTTCTTCCCCATCATCTACCTGCTCTTCTGGGCCTTCCTCTTGGTCTTCAGCTTGTATTCGGAACCCTTGGTCTGTGGCATCGGCCTAGCCATCATGTTGACGGGAGTACCCGTCTACTTCCTGGGCGTCCATTGGAAGAACAAGCCCCCGTCTTTCAACAGCATGGTCGGTGAGTGTTGTCGTCGTCCCCCCCCACAAGGCAGGGAGAGCTGGGATAGGCCGAAGATGGGGGCTTTTTGCTCTAGAAGAGAATATTTGTAGCTCAGGGTTGAACTGGGAGGTCCTTGGTGCCCTCTTGATAGTTAGAGAATACCATCTGTGTTAGAAGGGAGGGAGGATTGTGAAGGGGAAGCGGAGGAGGAGAAGGACGACGACTATGGGTTCCTTGGTGCTCTCTGAGAATGGTGGTTTTCTTGCAGACGTCTCATGACCCAACTCGGTAACCTCATCAGTGCACAGCAAGAGTGGGGTTTGCTCTCTGTTTATATACTAGTGGGTTGACCACCAACACTGACAAGACACAAGCCACTAGTCTAGAAACGAAAAGCAAGTCCCACTCTCTTCTAGCACTGATGAGGTTACCTAGTTGGGTCATGAAATGCCTGCAAGAAGTTAACCAAGCATAGAGAGCACCAAGGACTCTACATTCCTCCTTGTCCTCCTCTTCGTCCTCGTCCTCGTCCTACTTCTCGTCCTCCTCCTCGTCCTCTTCCTCGTCCTCCTCGTCCTCGTCCTCCTCCTCGTCCTCCTCCTCGTCCTCGTCCTCGTCCTCGTCCTCGTCCTCGTCCTCG